TGTAAAATCACGTCTCCGAGTCCTCCAGAAATTGTTTGGCCTGCCTACCGATTGTCCAGGATTCACAGCCATATGTTAAAACTTTATGTATGTAGCAAGCAAGAATTCTTTTTCTAACTCTCAATAACAAGGATATATTGCACAAGATGTTTTTCATTTCATAAAATGCAGTTTTTGCCTGTCCTATTCTGTTTCTTAACTCAGTTATGCATCTTCCATCTGATGTTATCCATGTGCCCAGATACTTAAATTGCTGTACTTGTCCTAAAATAACACCATTGACTTTTATTACACACTTAGGAATAATTCGTTTCTTTGATACCACAATTACTTCTGTTTATTACACAAAATAGCTTCATGGTTGACGATATCATAGGCGTGGAGCCGGGAGCTCTGGGGACTAGGTATCCTCACTCCCTTCATTCCATTATCTCCAATCTATCTATGGTTGTATTCTTTTCTACGTGTTTGTGAACATATTTCGTATTATTTTAAATATATTGTTATGTTTTTTTTTTGCTGTATCATAATAATAATAATAGTAATAAATAGTAACTTTTACACATTTAAACTAGACAAGCTACATTGAGGCACCCCCGCCCCTCCCCTTTCCATCCCTACTGTGTGTTTTCTCTAGTGCAATCCATTTGACCAATTTCGGCTCAGAGTGCTGATCCATACCAGTGTGCTGATCCATGTCAGTGTGCTGATCTATGTCAGTGTGCTGATCCATGTCAGTGTGCTGATCCATGTCAGTGTGCTGATCCATGCCAGTGTGCTGATCCATGTCAGTGTGCTGATCCATGTCAGTGTGCTGATCCATACCAGTGTGCTGATCCATGTCAGTGTGCTGATCCATGCCAGTGTGCTGATCCATGTCAGTGTGCTGATCCATGTCAGTGTGCTGATCCATGCCAGTGTGCTGATCCATGTCAGTGTGCTGATCCATGTCAGTGTGCTGATCCATGTCAGTGTGTTGATCCATGCCAGTGTGATGGGCATGTTGTTTGCGTCTTCTAAATCAGTGGCGGTTGCGGCAGTTTCCCTTCCTGCCTGGAAGCCCTCATACGTGTCGTAAGCAAAAAGTGCTGCATTACACCGGGTATCTCTGCACAGGTGGTACCCACCTAGTGCAGGTGCCAAAATGACATTTGACTAATTTTTGTATCAACGTTCTGGTCACCATTTTCTCCATGAGTTTCTCTACGCGGTGAAATCTTAATTGCAAGTATAGGGACCTATGCTAATTTCTGACTATATTTAACGTTAACGGCAATTGACGTTTCATTCATGTGAGTTGTTGTAGTAGTGGCCCAGGCACTCTCGTTTGCCCAGGGTCTATAATATTCTTACAACGGCTCTGGCCCTAGGATGTTGAGGAATGCTGGGGGTAAGTAACGAGGAAAGATCGATTTATGATCTCGACATCAAGAGGAGAGTAGACACAAAACCAATACTGGAGTATTGGCATTAAACAGGGCACCACAGAGAGCAACGTTATTTAGATACAACGGTAATAAAGCCAGAGGTCGACCACGCAGAACATAGACTGCAGAAGTTTAAGAGACACTGAAAAGTACTTTATACGAAACGAGCAGAAGGGCTCGTTCTAGAGATGTTTTCCTGGCCTGAAGCCTCAGGTCATTAAAGAAGTGGAGAAAAGAAAAAGAAGGCTTAAAACCCCTCGATAGTTAAATTGTGCCTTTCTGGCTGTATCTTATGTTACCTGGATGTCTCTCTTTTCGAGGTCTTTAAGTCGGCGAATCTTATGCTACCAGGATGTCTCTCTTCTCGAGGTCTTTAGGTCGCTGTATCTTATGCTACCAGGATGTCTCTCTTCTCGAGTTCTTTTGATCGCTCTATCTTATGCTCTCACGTCCTGGGACTGTGCTGTGACAGGTCTCTGATGCTGGTAACTCTTGTAGTTGTCTCGTCAATACTCAAGCCCACAAGCATGTTTTTGGCATCATTTGGGAAATTAAAGGCAGCTAGTGTGCTTTTTGACCACATATCTAGTCTAGTGCGGTACAACAGAGAGTCGAAGTAAGGTGCGGCTAGGTCGCCTTCCCACCTTCCCGATGGTCCCATGTTCGCATCCTCATTGAGTCACAATAAGGCTTCTGATCCTATCATATGTATTTTTTGTCTTTCTCAGGACGCTCACAGACAAAACATGGGCAGGATTCGTGCACAAATCAGTAAGTTCACATATTTATATTCACTAAGTAACATGCAATAATGTAAAGTATAATAAAAGGCTGTAGAGTAAAATAAAGTAATTGTAAACTAAAACTACGTACTGTAAACTGTAATGAGTATTGTAAAGTAAAGAAGTATAAAGTATTGTAAATATTGTTAGGGCCCTTTGGGAGCGAGTGAACAGTGCGGAGGCGCAGATAGACCATTACGGTCTGAGGAAAATGGCGCTGCGAGGAGTAACGAGGGGCCGACGCTCAACAGTCAGGGGGAAGATGAGACGGATATACAGTCAGACGGTTATTGGTACCATTGGAATTGGAAAACTTCGCTTGCTGATGAAGATGGGGACTGAGCACTTATAGGAGTATCTCGAAAGTTGTGAAAATAAAATGAATTGGAATCAGTCAAATGAAAGACAGTGAGGTACAATAAATTACTGTAAACTAAAGAGTCCAATCGTTTGTTCATCCGGTAAGACAACCAGCAACTAGAGCGTATTACATTAAAACAGCAGGTAACAAGTCAAAGGGCCGACAAAAAAAGATATGGGGCGATAAAGTTTAAGAGACTTCAAAAAAAAAAAAAAAATCGCAACACGGCATTATCAAAGGCTACACAGCTAGAAACAGACAGGAAACTACAGCTAACTGCCACAGATTCTAACATAAGCAGTAAGATAAAATAAGAAGAAGGTTTCTGTGGTAACGCATTGGCGAGTTTAGTCAAATTGTGCAAGTTCTACAGTTTTATAGATGAAGGAAGAGATCAATATTACACAGACGGCATTTACTAACATCAAAATGCTCGCGGTTTCAAAACGATAACTAGTAACTAATTATCTTCATCCTTCTTTTTCTTTTTCTTCCTTTTCTTCTTCTTCTTCTTCTTCTTCTTCTTCTTCTTCTTCTTCTTCTTCTTCTTCTTTTTCTTCTTCTTCTTTTCCTCTTCCTTTTCTTCTTCTTCTTCTTCTTCTTCTTCTTCTTCTTCTTTTATTATTATTAATATTATTATTATTATTACCAACTTCCTCCTCTTCTTCTTATTTATCTTTTTCTCCCTTCTCCTTCTTTTTGTGACAAAGAATAGACACTAAATGAAATCTACAAAAAAACAAAGCTTTTTAGACCTCAAAATGTTTGTAACAGATGTTAATTGTGATGGTATACGGCAATTATTTCAGAACACTACGAGGTTCAAATTCTCGAACGTGGCCAGAAGTTGGAAAGTGCCTTTGAAGAATGCAAAAAGCAGAAGTTGCACCAGCATTACATGAAAGTTAATGATTTAACACAACTGGCCATCAATGATTCTGATTTAATTGATTTCATCACCATCATGTGCAATTTGACTGCAATGATACAACTGCCACTTGTGCGATGCGGAAGTGGCTTTGTTCAAAAAGTGGAAATTTTCAAAGATGCACCGTGTCCTTGTCAAGAATGTCAAGGTCGTGGGGAAACCAAGTGGGGAAAGGTTACCTTGACAACAGCCCTGCATGTTCTGGAAAAGGAAACAGACGCTGCCAAATCTGAAGTTCGCTTATTCTTTGACAGTGAAGACAGTACCTATCAGGGGAAGATAATCTACGGGCTGAAGTCACATTCACGGGATGATAAGGGAGACTGGTGTGCCCTTGTGTGTGACACACGATCTTGATCTTCTTACACTTCTAGAAGACAAACTGAAGGAGTACTGGAAACTTGGTCGGGCACTGAAAGAGAAGTACCGGAAGGAGAGCGAAAATCTGGTTGTTGTCGTGGTGTCGCACCCACACGGCGGACCAAAGCGTATCAGTGTCGGCGAGGCCAAAGTAAAAGATTCAGCACTGGAGGTCAGAGAGGATCAAGACTGGTGCTATTACTCCTACGATGCTGTCACTTGTGAAGGAAGTAGTGGCGCCCCAGTGTATGTCCTTGGCCGATGGAATGATGGATTCGGATACTGGTTTGGACACTCCCATAACCACAGCGGCATTGACAGTTGCAATTGTAGTAGAAGCACCGTTGGTGTTGATTCAACTTTCGGCCAGTTAAAACCGCCCAGTTCCATTAACTTTAACGACAGTGTTATCCAATCAGCCACGGCGACAAACAGAAGCCCTGTTACAATGATCAAGCACATTGATGACGCAGCGTCTGGTTCCAGGCTGGCGAATGACGACACAGTTTATGATGAAAACAACAACGCACTTAAGGCCAACACACACACACAATCGCTAGTTAGTTTCAGTCAAAGCCGGAGTAATGGAATCAAGAAAGTGACTTTCGAAGTCATGTTTGGGAAGTTGTGTTACATATAACTCGCAGTAATTATGTCTACCTCTCCTTCGTCATCACCATCATTATGATCATGATCATCGTCATCATGATCATCGTCATCATCATCGTTATCATCACCACCACCATCATCATCATCATCATCATCATCATCATCATCATTTATGATCATCATCGTCATCATCACTACCGTCATCATCATCATCATCACCATTATCAACTTCAGCACTAAAATGATAATAAAATCAATTGATGATGATGATGAAAGAGAGGATAATGAAGATTAACTGAAAGTAACCGACTCAAGAAAAGAACGGATTGTTCACATCAGGAATGGGCTACATTGTACAATCTAAATTTTTGGGGTCCTGTCATGAAAAGGAGCAAACTGGACATTGTGACGTTGAAAAAGTTGGAGGCGAACGGTGCAGAGGAAGGCAGAGAGGTTGACTTCACTAGGACATCACACTGAGCGATAAGCACCCGGTGACACCCGGTGATCTACGGCCAAATTTGTCATGCAATAATTGTGCACCGTAATGTGTATCTGTCCGCACTTAATTTAATTAGTTATTCACTCAAACACAGCGGGCAAACTCAATTATAAAATCTCAATCATTTTTGGATTATCTAGTTTAAAAAGTTTTTGTGCTGGCTCCTTTAAATGTCTAATGTCTGGTAAGTACACAGCTAGCTGGGTGAAGCACACCCACATACACACATACACACATACACACACACATACACACACATGTACTAATGTTGACCGTAACTGTGCGTGGCTAAACACCCACATCAGAACGGTAACTGTGTTTGGCTACACGCCTACATATTGTATTAATTATAACCAAGAAGGTAACTCACAGACGTGTTTTCCTAGAAATGGGCTGGTTACCTGAACAGTTGGCAAGAATATTCTTTCAAACGTGCTGGAGCCTAAGGATTCAAGTCCCTAGAGCACACACCCACAAACAAGTGTAAGAGAAAGTAAGCTGGACAACCCACCCTAATCATGGATATTCTATTAGCATTATTTATTTTATTCTTTTGATATTTTCTTGTTATTCAGCACTTATATATATATATATATATATATATATATATATATATATATATATATATATATATATATATATATATATATATATATATATATATATATATATATATATATATATATATAAAATGTGCAGGTTTGTCACCTTAGAAATTAAAAAAAAGACGGTATGGGGTGGGCTCTCAGTAACCCACCCGTCCCCATAGCCTTAATAAAGTTTCTGTTGTGGGGTGGGCGGCTGAATGTGCCTAAGGCCCCGCCCTTTTCCCCAGTTGTGGCGCCCCTGTAATGTACAGTTCTGGGAACATGGGTTGTTTCTAGAAATCGTTCGAGCAGATAACTGACATGACACACTTAGCGAACTGTTGTTGGTTGCAAGAACTATGGTCTCCTCAGAATATGTGAATGGCGGCCAAGTCTTTTGATTTTTAAGTATTTATCTATGAAATTCAGACACATTTTGATTTAGACTTTTAAAAATTATATTATATTTATGTGCCACACATTGCCTTTTTGTTGTTGTTGTTGTTGTTGTTGTTGTTGTTGTTGTTGTTGTTGTTGTTGTTGTTGTTGTTGTTGTTGTTGTTGTTGTTGCTGCTGCTGCTGCTGCTGCTGCTGCTGCTGCTGCTGTTTTGAGCCGCCGTTGTGTAACCGCTTGACGCTCGTGGAGCCTAAAATCTATACCAGGTAAAATTCTGGGAAGTAAAGGCGGCCAGTGTGATGCTGACTGATGTATAAAACATGGGACTGGTACTAAATACCCAGATACATCTAAGGGCGGGGAAATGGTACTTTAATGTTACTGTTTTAGCCTATATTTTTAGTTGCAACTAAAATAAGACTTGAGTTTGGAGAGGAAGGGAGTCGCCGTGGCCGAGCGGCTAGACGCTCGCTGCGGATCGGAAGGTCGTGGGTTCGCTCCCTGGTGGAGACGGACTTTTCTTCAAAAATGACCTTGGCTCCCAGGTCGACCCAGCCTTGAGTGGGTACCGGGTGCAATCCCGGGAAGTAGAGGCGGCCGGCGTGATGCTGACCACATCACCCATTTTGTGCCGTTGGTCTATAAAAATATAGGTCTAGCCCTATATGCCCTATACGCCTAAAGGCGTGGAAAGGGTCCTTTACTTTACTCTTTTACTTGGAGAGGAAGGAAGCGCAAACATGCGGGCAAGTGGACTGAACCTACCTGACTCCCTCCATTCAACATTTCTTTGTTATATCCCTTGGTGCACATAGACTTCTCCTCGGTAACTGAGACGCCGATTCAAAATTATCAACAAATCAATCAGTGAATTGACCAATTAATCACTCATTTAATTAGTCAATCCACAAATCAAGCAAACATTCAATTAGACAATCGATCAATCGGTCAATCAGAGAATCAATCAGTGAAAAAAAATCAAGCAACCGACAAATCAATCAATCATTCAAATAAGTCAATTGACAAATGTTAATAAGTAAATCATTGAATCAATCAAGCAACAAAACAGTCAATCGACTGATCAACCAGTAAATTAATCAACTAATCAATCAATCATTCAATTAATAATTCGATCAGTTAATCAATCAACAAATCAGTTAATGAATCAACAAATCAGGTAATCAGTCAACCAGATCAGTCAATCAGTAAATCAATCGGCCAATTAATTAGTATTTAAGAGCATGTAGTCTTTAAAAACACAACATTTATCTTTATCTTTACAACAAAATGTTAGTTCCTCAGTAGATACAAACTTGTTGAATACAGAATGAGCAAACGGTTATCATGAGAGCCATCCAAACTGGTCCTTGTGCCATAGATGAAGCGTCGTTCTGAAAGGGAAAACAATTGTTTTTGTGTTTTTGTATTTTATTGTCAAGATCGTCAACACATTGGAAGCTTCCTTCGAAGTGGGAGTGCATCTGCCTGAGAGGCAAGGAACCAGCAGTCTGCATACAAATGATTCAGATCTGTAAAACGGATGCACACGCAATACTCAGGTTCTGGAACAGGAGTGCAGTCCAGAAGTGGACGAACAACCAGAACTTTCCTTTAGAGTTTACAGCTGGTCAACGCGAGGAAGAATAAGATCATCATCATCATCATTGTTCTGTCGCGCCATTACATGTCACATAGGGCTCTCAGTCTATTCCTTCATTCAGATCTATCCTGTGCAATCAGTTCCTTATCATGGATGGAATCCAGTCCAGCAGCTTTGGCGTCCGTTTTAGGGTTCTCTTTGGGCTTCCTCGCTTCATTATTCGCTTCATTTCTCATTTCACTGCCTGTCTGGTGACTCTCCATTCGTTTCTCTTTAGGATGTGTCCAGTACACAGCCATCTTCTTTGTTTTCTATCTGTTGTTGCAAGTTCTTGCCCAGACATTTCTCTTTTTTCTTCATCCCTCTTAAATTCGTTTCATTTTATGTTCAGTATTTTCCTTTAAGGCATTTGTTTCCAAATGAACTTAATTTTCGTTCCCTCTCTCAAATTATTTCGTTCCCTGTTTTTAGTTATTTCGTTGCATGTCTTCATTTATTTCATTCCATGTTTTCTTTATTTTTTTTATTTTTTTTTTTACATTTTTCATTCAATGTCTTTTGCTTTTTTGTTCCATGTCGTTGGATATTTCATTCCATGTTTTTTTTTTTTTTTTTTACATATTTAATTCAATATCTTTTGCTATTTTGTTCCATGTCGTTGGATATTTCATTCCATGTTTTTTTAGTTATTTTGTTTGAGGAGGAAAAACAAATGTCCGGCTCCGTCACGATCTTCCGATTAGCAGCCGAGAGTCTAACCGCTACATTACAGCTGCTTCCACTTTTACACTTTAGATTAGGGGGGAAAGGGAGGGGATGGATGGAAAGGGGGGGGGGGGGGTTTAATTGGTAAGCCTAGGTTAATCCTGCGTGAGTAACGTTCTTATTTTTTTTTTGGTCCCCGACAGAGGAAAACTCTGGAAAGTTACCAAGGATCCGAACCCGTCTCTCGCAGGAAACCGTTCGGCCAGCCGTTTCTGTAAACTCTGGCAGAAAGTTCTGGCTGTCTGTCCACTTCTAGACTTTGATATTGTTCCATAAACTGAGTTTTGCATACATACCCGTTTTAGAGATTTGGCATCTCAGGCAGATGAAATCCCGACTTTTGGCAGAAAAATCCTTAATTAGTCGACTTTTTGACATCTTTGTTTCGGGGCGGTGAGTCTATTCTTTTGCTCCTCCCTAAATAAGACCCCAGAACCCACACACGAATATATTTATTAAATTAGCACTTACATCTGAGAAGAACACTGTCCTGATCCATAAGTCTTGTGAGGCGGCGTTTTACGCTTTACATCATCGCACAATTTGATGATGGTTTAATATCCTAGATTAAACCCACACGCCAGATATACTTTATAAACAAACACAGAAGATATGAATTATAAACCCACGGGGCAGATATGAATTATAAACCCATGGGGCAGATATGAATTATAAACCCATGGGGCAGATATGAATTATAAACCCATGGGGCAGATATGAATTATAAACCCATTGGGCAGATATGAATTATAAACCCACGGGGCAGATATAAATTTTAAACCCACGGGACAGACATAAATTATAAACCAACGGGGCAGATATGATTATAAACCCACGGGGCAGATATAAATCATAAACAAACAGAGAAGATATGAATCATAAACAAACAATGAAGATGTAAATTATAAACAAACAGAGAAGATATGAATTATACACTCACACAGCAGATGTCAATAATGAACAAACACAGAAGATTTGAATTGTGTATTCACAAGCAGGTGTGAATTATAAACCTCACAGAAGACGTGAATTATAAACCCACGCAGAAGAAGTTAATTTTAAACTCACACAGTAAAAATAGTAATTAAAATAAAGGACCCTTTTCCACGCCTTAAGGCGTATAGGGCATATAGGGCTAGACCTATATTTTATAGACCGATCGGCACAATATGGGTGATGT